AGCTCAGGTCCACATGGCCTGCAGATTGGATTCCGACGAGCATGTGTGCTTTGAGAAAATCGTCATTTATCCCGCGTGGCACAGCAACGGTGGAGGGTTGTTACATCATGTGCCATAAGTATCGCAGTAGCATGTGGTTGGCGACTATGCAATCGAACGGTGACGGCGAGCTGGCGGTGATAACCCCGTTAAAATTTTCATCGCTACTGGACTGCATGGCTGCCTATCGGCAGAGACGCGTCGATGCGAAGGGACATGATGCAGGATATGTCTTATGTCTTGTCGTCGTATTCTCGTTTCCTCCTCTTCCTGCTTCTGCTTCCCCTGACGCCTCCGCCGCTCGCCCGCACCCCACCGTTGCCGAAGGACTTGACTTCAAAGTCGAGGTGCTGCAGCTGGACTGGGCATACAGTAACACGAGGAGGTACAACATCGTTTCCGAGGGGCACCTGTTTTTCTTCAGCGACGTGAAGTCGAAGTCGGCCCCTGCAGCGCGCGAGGAAGTTAGCGAAGCAGACGAACTTGATCTTGAGGAAGAAGCTATTCTCCATGATGAAGATGTCTTGGACCACGAGGGGGGCGACGCTGACGACGCTAGAGATGGCCCTGATGGAGATGGCGCGGACGAGCCAGACGTCACGTACCAAGTCAGGCTTAAACGATACACTGAACGATTGGCTGACTTAAAAAAGGCAGTCGACGCTTTGGACGCCACGGCAGACCCCAGCATGTACGAGGAGGAGAAGTTCGTTGAAGTACTTGATCGATTGGAGGCAGAAGTTGCGGACCTTGGAGACCCACCAGCGCCGCCCGAGCATGATGGAGGTATCGCTGGCGCGCCTGGGGTTTTCGCTGGTGTCGATGAACTCCTGGTGGGCTTATGGGCACCGACGGTTGCCCATACTCTGATTGCATTCTTGGAGCTCCCCGACCCCAGATGTTCGATGCCAGTTTCGTCCTACGCTTGCCTAGTGGAGCGCACGATAGATGTATGTGAAGGCCAGGTAGAGCCTATTCTCGAATGGATGAGGGTGGACGAATATAGTCAAGACCCCATGCGTTTTGTTGCGCGCATGTCTGGCATTGGCAAGAGTGGGCGACTTGCGTTCAGAACGGTCGCTGATAAGAAGGACCTTTCTTCAGAATTGAAATCCCAAGATTTGAAATTCCTGGTGCCAAATACGTTATGCCGGATTGTGAGGACGAAAGATTCGTGGCCAGAACTTCCAAGCCATTTGAGGACGGTGTACGAATTCCATTCAACCAAGCTGGATGCGATTGGATACACAGAAGATGTGGGTACATGCGCCATTTGCGGCGAGGACTGCGACATTCCCACGTGCCCTCTGTGCAGAATGCGGTTCCACCCTGAGTGCACAGCTAAACCAGCAATGGAAATAGATATTGATCACGTTTGGGACAAGGTTTTCTCGGACGACCCTCGTGAGAAGGAGCGCTGGAAGGCGAGCCTCGATAACGTGGAATCAGGGTCAGTGATCATGCGAGAATTTGGATTGGCAGACTTCGCCTTCTGTTCATTCTGCAAGGCGTGCATTCACAAAACAGACGGGCAAGTCATTGCATATCATAGCATACCATAGCATATCGCATTGCGCTGGAATCAAACGACACGCTTCGAACTGGGTGTCTGGGTGTCTGTAACGTGTCCATGGTGGCGCAACCTTGGGAGTCTCTTAACCACTGCCTGGTTAACATGGGCAGAGAAACATGAATGCTAGGTGCACAAGCGCATTGCATTGCATTGCGGGGCGTACAGAACATGAGCCCACACTCGCCCGAGCCAGACCCTTATCTTGAGCCTATCATTGTTTTAACATTGTCACAGAAGATTGAGGAGGATGAAAGGTGAGGTTGAGCGAGGAGGAGGATGAGAGGATAGAGGGATGAAGAGGGAAAATGAGAGAAGAGGACGAAGCACATGATCAACAACACGTGTACCATAACATAAAACGGAGTCTGAAATCAATCGATTTGAGCCGCCTGCTTGAGCCGAACATGGCTGCGGATCGGAGCCTGTGACGGGGAGTGGAATCTCTGATTTCAGGCTGATCACGTCGTCAGGGGGGGGCGCCACTATCGATCCGATGGACACTGGAGGGGTGACTAGTGACATACCCCCCTAAGTCACTAGTGGACCACCCCTACACTAGTGACATGGGGGGGTATGTCACTAGTGCACCAGGGGTGCACTAGTGACATGGGGAGGTATGTCACTAGTCGCACCTCCAGTATCGATCCGATCGAAAGTGGGGTCCTGGCTGAGATGATTCCGAGCTCGTTTTCTGAGTTTCACGGTCCAAGTTCTGCCTCTGCTAATTCATTGATATGGAGAGCCTTTTCTGTGATGTGTAATGCGTGTCAGTCGGTATTTGTGGTCGTGTTGGCTCGAAGCTCGCTGGTTTCAGCAGCTAGGTAGCAGCCGCATGTTGACCTTATGTGCTGCTGAAGTTCCTAATATCGTAGTTCGGTCACTGGATGATGCTGCAAGGTGGTGCGATCATGCACTTGAGAGAGCGGCTTCTGTGAACAGCAAGGCCGCTGTATTGAGCACGCTCACAGATCGCGTGATCACTTGCAGCTCATCGTTTTCTGGAGTTGGAACCGATGCCACTGCCATGAGCATCATCAATCACACAGTCGGTCACCTCTTACACGCGTGGGGTGTGACTGGCGTGCCAACAACGTTTGAACATTGCTACGCAGTCGAAAACTACGGCCCGTCAGTGGATGAGTTGACTCATCACCCAAATCCACCAATGAACGTGTTCAGAGACATCCTTGAGTTCACTGAGCCTCGCTACCGAAGGCTGGTCGGGCTGGATGGTGGCACTGTTGCCTCAATGCACGAATTGAGATCACTGTTGCCCTACATGCAGCCACGTCTCCGTGCTCGGTGCGCAAAGCACGGTGGATGGTACTCCGTGAAGCATACCGACTACCACCACTGTTCGAGCCCATGCGTAGACTGGAGCAACATGGGTGCGCACAACTATTCACATGGCTCTGCGTCCATACCGTTCTTGGTCTGGGTCTCCATTGTGCGATGCCTGAAGTTCAAGGTTATAACACACGAGAACGTAACAGAGTTTGGGACGGCGGAGATTGACACTTTCTTGTCAGACATGTATATCATCGTTCGCATTGTATCTCGGCCTGACAAGCTCGGGTTCCCGGCGATGCGCAACAGGCAAATCCTACTTTTGATTCTCAAGACATGGGTTGATGGGATTCTGCCGGAGATCGGCGTCAATGACAGGGCCGCTCTGATGCAGCATTTGAGGTTACAGCAATATCACGATTTCTTGTTCACTAGGGTATGTGAACTCACATGGCATGACCTTGCAGTTGCTCCACTTCGCTGTCTGGAAGAGGACCTGGATTGGGCCTCGAATCGCAGCATGAGTCTGAGCAATAGCCAGCCTCACCAGCCTCAGAAGTCTTGGGAGAATGCGCTCAACAAATTTGAGCTCGACAACTTGATCAAGTGCAGGCAGAAGTACGGAGCTTGTGTAGACAAAATCATTAATCTAGGTCAGAATCCAGATCAACGCACCGTCATGTCGTGCGGGCCACGTGGGCAATACCTTCAGACGCTCACCAAAAATGGCGCTTTGCTGTGGATGCTCCCTCTGTACAGATGGCTGGTCCCAGCGGAGTGCTGGATCTCACTCGGGCATCCTGTGACAGAACAGCTGCAAGCAGCTAATCATGGAGCACAATCGCCCTTCAGTGCAGCTCGCTCCTCACCAAGGCTCCGTTCGCACCATAGCCAATCAAGCCAATCAGGAAATGCGATGCACCTCGTGACGATCGGAGGCTCGATATTGCTCATGCTGTTAAAGTTTGGGCCCGCGTTGGGATGTCGGGTCACTGGAAACCCCGAGATCCCAGCAGCGCAGGAGTTCTCGGCACTGTTGCAGTTGCAGCGCCTGAAACGCAGTCGTCTTGCGCCCCAGTAATGTTGCGCCCCAGTGTCTCGAGCCCTCGAGCCAAAACTGAAGCCTGGCGACAATGAGGAAGAGGAGAAGGAGGAGGAGGAGGAGGAGGAGGAGGAGTAGGAAGAATAGGACTAGGAGAAAGACGAAGAGGGCTCGGTTTGACTAGTTTGTGGGGCGAGTCCTGCCACACATGTTCCTCCGCCTCCCCCTACTCATCCTACACCAGATTCCCCAGCCCTGAGGCCATCAGATGCCCTGTGCAGGAACGCCATCTAGCGTCCGTAGCCTTTCGAGCCCATTTGGCCGAATTTGTTTGCAGAATATCCAACGTTCTCCCAACCAGCTTTCTTTCCTCCCGCTATCGACGCTGTGGTCTCGCCGCAATGGCAATTGTGGCATCATCAGACTCGCCACCGACACTTCGGCCGTACGGGAAGTGGGGCACGGCGCCATCGGCTTCGGCCCGCTACGGCAACGCCAAGGGCAGGGTGTTGGATGACTTGGTCAGGGCAGATTACGTGGACGAAGAGAGGTGGCTTCCGCTCTTTGGGAAAGATGGGCAGCAGCTGCTGACGCGCCACGAGCGTCTCAACGTGCGGAACCAGTGCGATAACAGGCACAAGTACAAGAAGTTGGTCTTAACAATTGGGTACAAGCCCAATCAACGAAATGAGATGGTGTTCGTCCCCAAGGCCAGGGGCAGAGAGGGACACTGGTGTCTTTCTGGAGCGCACCTCGTGGAAGCGATCTACGAGGCACATGCAGAACAGCCTGAGAATCCTCAGGTGATTGCGTCAGTGGCTGGTGGCGTGAAGGCGTGCGTCCTCGATTACCGCAGTCCGGACGACATCTTGTCGCACTTCAAGGAAGACGGGAACGGCCTCAACCACATCCGCGGCCAGGTCGCATTCACTGAGAGCGTTGGCGAAGTTGGCTCGATGCAGAAGAAATTGAAGGATAGCAGGAAGGGCGAGTTTGAAGACCACGACTACGAGGAGCACAAATCAAAGTTCGACAACAAAACAGTACGAGTCTGAGTACATGGAGTTTCTGGACAGGGAGTTCCCCGGCTACAACCTCTTCGACATGACCAGGCGCGTCTATAACAAGTTCCTGAAGGTCCCTGAGATACATGCTGAATGGAGGGCCTATTGTGATCAACATTGCGTCTACTCCAATACGAGGCTGGACACTGGCACGACGATGTACATCATGGATAAGTTGATGACGAAGGTTGCTGCCTACGACCTGTGGGATCACTTAGTCGACATCTTCAAGTTCTGCATCCCAACGAATGATGGGCACGAATGGCACTGCACAGAACGGAAAGATTGGGTAAAGATCCTCGCCCTCTTCATGCCAATCACCCATGGCAAGAGGGACGGAGAGAAAGTCAAGGTCGAGGTCTTGGCCGAGAAAGCCAAGTTGAACAGGGCTTTCAAAGCGAAGGCTGCCGCGGACACCACCGAGAAGGACGAGGGGAAGAAGGATAAGACTCGCAAGAAGGGCAAAGGCAGGGGAGCGAAAGGGAAGGGCAAATCCAACGAAGTCTTCAATCAGTTCCAGGCAACCAAGGGCGGCAGGGATGTGATCATGTTCGAGGAGATCATCGGCACCATTGAGTACGCGGTAGAGGACATCGGCGACCAGTACATCAATCGCAGCGTGCTTTCACAGATGAAGGATGTTTGCATCACTTGGGCGTTGCAAGGCGGCGCCGTCGAAGCACCCCCGCTCGTCGCCCAGGCGCAAGTTCTGAAGTACGAGGCCGATGAGAAGAAGATCGAGAGGCTGAAGAAGACGTTGGTGAAGACTTCATGGTCGTCACTGAAGAAGCACGTCGTGATGCTCATCCGAGAGAGGCACCAATTCGCCCCCAAGACCGACATGGACGCCGTGCTGGGAGAAGATACTCAGGAACATACTTCGTCGGCAGCGACCGGGGGCAGCGTCGCTCGCATGAAGCGTGACCCTTCCGAGTTCCCTGGCGTCCTGAACGTCTGCAAGCTGGAGGAAGCGGTTGCCATGGTCACGGACGAGTGCATGATCATCTACAAAAACTTCATCAGCAAGAACACCCCGAACCACATGTTCTGCCCGACGGGCGCGCTCAGGATGAGCCAGCCAGCCCTTCAGAGCATGGGATCAACCTTGCACGCTCTCGTGACAGACCCCGATGCCATCAAGCAGTGGCCTAGCATGGACGTGGACGAGAGCATCCAAACGCTCGTTGGTATGATTGCCTCTGCTATATTTCGGACGATGCCGCAGGACATGGTCCATTTCATGCGTACTCTTCACACTGCGGTCGATGAGTCAGGAAGTGGTTACGCAGAGCTATCAAAATCGAAGATCAAGGTGTTGCGGACCGCGCTGGAGGTGTGGCCGCGCTTCGCCGACCTGGAGAGGTAGGGGGCCACGCGCGAACCATGCCCCTAGCCTCCGCGATTTCTGAGTGGGAGGGCGGGGTTCAGGAGGGTCACCTTGCTCGGAGCAAAGTGAACACCACCCTCCCCATCAGAAATCGTGGGGGGTATGGGTAGGGTTCGAATGTGGACCCCTACGAGGGCCTTGGGCATGCGTGGCAAGTACGCCCTGAATCTGATTGCAGATGCTCCAATGCTCATAGCTGCAGCCGCCCACGCATCCGACGAACAACACGATGACGCTTTCGATAAGATGACCGAGCTCTGGGGGAAGCTGAAGTTCGCGGCAAGTTTCATCGATAACTACTCGCTCGAAGCCTGTGCAGCCGACGCCCAGGCCACCTGCCAGGACACTTGGGTTGCGATGTGGAGCAAGCTTTTGATCGAGCTCATGAAGAATCCGAGCGACTCGATTGCTAAGAGGCCTCGGGCTGAGTTGGAGCTCAAGGAATGGGCCCGCGCACAGTCTGCAGTGCTCGACTCCAAGACGAAGTCCGATCTTGCAAATCAGGCGTGCTTGATGGGCTACAACAGCAAGGATAGCAGCAAGAACGAGATCATCGCCTTCATCGTCAAGAAGAGGGTCGAGACTGAGAGGAAGAAAGATCTTGACATAAGTTCAGAGCAGAAGCAAACGTTGGCGGCAGCCTTGCAGCAGATCAGCGAGGGTGAGAGCTCCATGGCGCTGAGCATCGTCAGTGCAGACAACGAGCGCTCGTCTCCGACTGAATCCTACACGGCCTTGGGTTATCGGCCAATCTCCGTCGACACCTCCGCCAACGAGTTCGTGGCGATGGCTCTCGCAAACAGGATCACGTCTTTCCTGATGGGCCAGTTGACTAAGGATGTTGGCGCGGACCTGGTCAAGCATAAGGAAGTTGTGAAGCCAGGTGGAACAACTACGATCACTGCCAAGATGTTCAGCGACTTCGGCTTCGACAAATCTCAAAACAGCTGCAAGGAGTTGTCCTTCACGATGTTCGGGAATACTTTCTTGATGAAGATCGGGGTGCAGCCGACGCAGAGGGCCATCGCGCGCCTCGGCGAGGTGGCGATTGGAGGGGCCACCTACGTCATCTGGGCTTCGCCAGCGCCTGCGATGCACAACCCGACAGGCGGACTGTTCGTGCCAGCGTGGGGCGTCATCAAGATCAGAGAGTATGAGGACGGCACTGCTCCGAACACTACCCTGAGTACGACTCGCGTTGAGCTGGAGGTCCCTGAGTGCTCCGAGCCGTTTGCTCTTCCAAAGTGTACGTTGTCTGTTCCTGTTCTCATTCCAAACATCGAGTTCCTGAAAAAGAATGGTGCCACCGAGATGTTGGAGTTGACAAGGCCGGAGCTTCCAGAGGAGAAGCACGTGAGGCTTGCGTCGTCAGGCAACACTCGCAACAAGCGCACTCTTAAGGCTGAGGGCTCCGACGATCTGAACGGAGAGCACGTGCAAAAGTTTGCGAAGCGAGCCGCAGCATAG